CATTGCAGGTCAGGGTTTGGAATCATGGAAGACCCATCACATCACAATATGCTCCATTTCCATTACCTCGCCACTCACCCTCGACCTGCCCCTCCCTCTCCTCGCGGAAACATGCATGTCAGCCTGTATGCTCGATCACTCGTGTGTGTCTTTGCACATGGCACTTCCCTCAAACATCACCTGTAAGCACTGTAGCCGCAATTGCAGCTCGTTGCTTCAAAATACGCGACATCATCTTAAACGCCATCACTCCATGCTCCATTTCCTTTATTTCACCACCCAACCTCTGCCTGCCCCTTCCCCCTCCTCATCCGCCTCCCCTTCCCCTCCCATTCCCCTCCCACTGCCTCTTGCTTTCCCTCACCCTCTCTATCCCACTCCCCCTTTCGCATGAGAAGGCGGTGGAAGGCGGTGAATCAGTGAGGCAAGCCAGGGGAGGAGTGTGAGGGTCAGCCTTTCTTTGAAATGTCACTTCTCATTTTGAATTCTCTGACTGCTGCTGGCTCTTTCAGCTATCCTGATCATATTGAATGTTGGAGCGCGGGCAGGTGAGCGTTGGTGGCGTCTAACTCGACTCGGGTCACAAGTCGTCTTGTAATCAGCTGTGCCATACCGTCACTGCTGATGGGAGTTACACAATTGGATCAGCGGGACACGGTGGGTGCGTTTGAGCTTGCTCTGATTCTTGTTACCACTCGTGATTCCCCATGCCTGGGTTGTATTGTACCTTGCCGAACCAGTTTCCGCAAAGCAGGTTGGGAGCTGCTCAGGTGAGCAGTCGGATCAGCAGTTGGGTCAGTCTCAAGGTCTATCAGCATTCTTGCATCGCTTCAATGCCCTCTGCTGCTGGAAGCATGTCCTTCTGCCAACCTTTTGCAGGCTGAACCATCACAACAGTCACATGGCATGGCATGGGATGGGATGATAACAGAGATGGTGGGATGGGATGAGGAGCAGAGATGGTGGGATGGGATGAGGAGCAGAGATGGTGGGATGGGATGAGGAGCAGAGATGGTGGGATGGGATGAGGAGCAGAGATGGTGGGATGGGATGAGGAGCAGAGATGGTGGGATGGGATAAGCAAAGATGGTGGGATGGGATGAGGAGCAGAGATGGTGGGATGGGATGATGAACAGAGATGGTGGGATGGGATGAGGAGCAGAGATGGTGGGATGGGATGAGGAGCAGAGATGGTGGGATGGGATGATCAACAGAGATGGTGGGATGGGATGAGGAGCAGAGATGGTGGGATGGGAAGCTCAGCTGAGAGCAGCACCAGCTGAGCTCAGCGTGAGCGAGGAGCTTCTGCTCTTAGCTAATCTTACAGTAAGCCCCTCTGATTTCATTACCGAGTGGACTGCTGAGGACGAGGCTTATCTGAGAGCACCTGTCACAATTTGTCGTACGACACTAACTGTGAGCGAGGAACTGCTGCTCCTGGCGGGAAACTCGGTGAACTCTGCCGATTTCATTACAAACTGGACGGATGAGGACGAAAAATACCTGAGAAGCGGATCATTGAAACCGCGCGATGGGTGGACCATTGCCAAGTGGGTGGCGCAGTATGATTCGTTTAACAAAGCCGATTTTGTCACTGAATGGACGGAAGCGGACGAGGCGTATTTGAGAAATCAGGTGATCAGGAGACCTGTGGAATGCAAGGCGATGACCTCCGCGGAGGTGGCTATCAAGATGGGTCGGTTTGTTGTTGAGGAGAACAAGAAGCGCCGGGAAAACCGCTCTGGAGCGCGGCTGGGCTTCTCGCCTTTGAGGCCCGCCTTCGCTACCGCTGTTACCTCTGCTGTGAGCACGCTGGCTGCTGCTGCAAGTGCTGCTGCTGACGCTCTTGGTGCTGCTGTTGCTGCTGCTGTGCCTGTGGTGGCTGCTGCTGCTGCGGATGCCGTTGCTGACGCCATTTCTGGCGCCGTTTCTGCTGCTTCTGCTGCTATGCCTGCTGCTGCTTCGCCTAAAAAAGAGGTTTGCAAGCCATCAGCACGGTCAGTGGCGAAACCAGCTCGGTCAGTGGCGAAGGCAGCAGCACCATTAGCAGCTAAATCAGCAGCTGTTGCTGTGTGCAGGCCATCAGCACGATTAGCAGAGAAACCGGCTCGTTCAGTGGCGAAGGCAGCAACGCCTTCAGCGGCTAAACCAACGGCTGTGGTAAAGCCTGCTGCGTGCAAGCCATCAGCACGCGCAGCAGCTTCGCCAGCAGGACGAGCAGCGGTGAAAGCAGCAGCGAAATCAGCCACACAGCAGGCAGTGAAGCCGCCTGTGAAGGCAGCAGCCTGTGGCACGGCAAGGGGTGGGAACGGGAAGGGAGAAGCAACCAAGGTTGGTGGTGCTGCTGAGAAGAGATCCGGATGTATGGGTAAGGTGGTGGAAGTGAGAGCTAAGCAGGCAGCAAGCAAGCTCTCAGAAGCAAAGATGAGACTCGCTGCTCCTGCTGCCTCTGGCGGGGCTGCTGCTGCCACGAGCAGATTGAAAAATAGCCCAGTTTCAGCTGTGAGGGGGGAGGGGAAGAAGGGAGTGCAGGCAGCAGCAGGGAGCAACAGTGAGCTGCGAGGCCAGACTGCAACAGCAGCCTCGCAGAAACAGCAGTCCCAGCAACCCAGGTGGAGGTGACAAATATGATTTTTTCACATTCGTACCTTGTATAAAATAGTTCACTGATAGGGCTAAGTTTGCTACGTGTAGGTCGATGTAAAGTAAATGGTATCATGGTATAGTGTGTATATCACAAGATTAAGACACGAGTTGCTAGAGCCAAGGTGGTTTATTGTATGGGCTGTTGATCTTGTTGTTTGGTGCAGCTGGGCTGGACTGCATGTGTTTCACGTTGCTTGTATGCATGAATGTGACAATTGGCATGAATGTGTCAATTGGCATGAATGTGTCATTTGGCAAGAATGTGTCATTTGGCATGAATGTGTCAGTTCACATATTGTTCCTTCTTCCCCTTTTGCATATTGTTCCCCTTCCCCGTGTGGGATTATGCTTGTGACTCTGTACGCTTACCTCGAATTCCATGCATCACCATCAAGTAAGCAAGAACTGCGACCGTAATTGCAGCTCATAGCTTGAAAATCATCTCACATTACTTCACGCAACATATCTCTTACCTGGCATGAATTTCCTTCTTGGAATGAATGTGCTGCGTGGCATGAATGTGGTGCTTGCAATGAATGTGCTGCGTTTAATGAATGTGCTGCGTGTAATGAATGTGCTGCTTGACATGATCTCCTTCACACTATGTGTCCTTCTACATCCCCTGTAGAATGCATGTGCCACAATACAAGCTTCTCCAGAAAGCAGTGTGACCGTGATTGCTGCTCAGGGCTTCAAACCCATGACTTAATGAGCTCTCCACATCCCCATACCCTTTACCTCACCACTCACCCTCTCCCTCCCCATGCCCCTCTTTTTCGCCATCCTCTCCCTCCCGATCCCCCTCTGTCAGTGGGGCAAAGCAGCGGAGGGTGGGGTGGGCAGCCTTTCACTGGATGCGACTTCTGACAGTGTCTCACACTCAGCCGCTTTCACTGCTCTCTGCTGGCCCGCAACGCAGCGAGGTGAGCTTTGGTGAAACTTGACAAGACCACAAAGTCAAGTTGCAATCTCATTCTGGTGAGGTGAGCCATGTGGCTACTTCTGGTGCGAGGTTGGAACATGGAGATTGAAAACAGAAACGGGAGAAGCTGTGAGCGTTTTGAGCTGGGCTGGGACTGATCCTCGTTTCATTCGCAATTCCCTTGCTCTGATTTGTACTGTGCCGAACCAGTTTCTGCACATCAAATTTGGAGCTGTTCAGGTCAGTATTCAGGTATCAGGCCAGCATTCAGGTATCAGGTCGGTATTCATGTTAATAATCTGGTACAAATCTCTGAGAGGCTGAGAGTAATCAATATCCTGAGTGGACGCAATTTACTTCAAGCAAGGCACTGGGGAGCTGGGGGCTTGACTGGCAAAATGCTTTCAATTAAGCAGTAACGCAGCAGTGGGGGAGGAAGGGGGAAGGGGGAGTGTCACTGTTTTGTTGAATAAGACAATATGTGGTCCTTCTGACTGCTTCTTGCAACTGCCCCTATTATATTCCATCCAATTCAGTGATTGTCATGCACCTTTTTTTTGTATTTAGTTGCTTCATCTCCAATTTCTGCTAATCCCAGTTCCATTTATCCCTGGCATGTCATGTCAAATCACATCACTGCCCAAACGAAGAGCCATCAAGCTTAGCTAACCATGTGCTGCTTGGTAACTTGTATGCACCTCCTTAGCACTATGCTATGTTCATTTGCCAAGCATACAGTTTCTCCTAGTTCTCCTGTAAACTGTCTGTGACCACTATTGCTGCTCAGGCCATGGAATCATGTCCGAATCGAACCATCACCCCGTGCCCCGTTTTCGATACCTCACATCACCACTCCCTCTCTCCCCGTCCCTCTCGCTCACGCTCTCCCTGTTCCTCCCCGGCCCCTCTTCCTGAGACTGCATGGCTGTGAGGAGTGCTGCTCGGCCCTGACCGCACCCAGAGCGCCGTGATGACCTGACAGGCAGACAGACTATGCAAGCTCACTTGAACCACACCATTCACCCGCATGTGCGATTTTTCTCAGCACACCAACACCATCGACAGCAGCGGAGATAGGTTGCGGGCAGGCCAGGGCTGCACAATGGTCAGGGATACATCTGGGACATGTGAGGGACATGTTAGGAAAGGTTTGGAACAGATGGACAGCTTCAGGCCTTGTGCTGGCACCAATTAACTTACTTTCAGTTGCCATTCGAGGGTTTGTTGATACTGTCTGCGTTTGTCTTTAGACGAGTCTTAATGTTGTTTTGGAAGTGCCATTTTGCATCAGATGTACATTAGGGCAGAGTAAGATGCAGCCTCCTCTACTTGGAGGAGTGCTAATTGGCATCTACACTCCAACCAACCAGCTATTACGCTGCTCAGCGCTGCTGAGATGCATCCGCCAATATCCAGCATGCGCAAGGATTCTCTACCCTGCTGTGCCCATGCCCATGGCCATGGTTGCCACGTCAGCTTCACTGAGGAGAGTGGCAGTTGCGCCGCCCATCGATGCTGCCCGGTCAAACGGCTGTGCCATGCGCCGCAGAAACTATCGGGAGATGAAGAGGCCGAGGGAGGGAGGGAGGGAGGAGGTGGGAGTGGGAAGCGGAGGGGTGGGCGGGGGGGAGAAAGAGGGGGTTAAGGTGTGGTTGGGTTGGGTGTGAGAAATGATGGCAATGATTGTTGGTCAACTCTGCCAAAATGATTGAGCAATTCCAAATCAGAACCGACAGTGAGCTACGGTGCTGGCTCACCTCCCTGGCGATGTGCACGGCCATGTCGGTGGAGAGGTTGAGGTGTGCGTCGGGCAGCTGTGACACTATCCACCCTGGCAGCTTGCTGCGCTTGTCATGCCGGTTGTACCTGGCAGGGAGGGGGGACGGGGTGGAGGGGGGGATGGGGAGATGAGGAGAGGGCTGTTTGTGAGTTATCTAAAAGGCAGCTTGATGCCCTCGTCTTGCCGATTGTACCTGCGAGGTGCGGGGAGGGCGGGGCAGGTGAGGGGAGGGGGGGACGGGGAAAGGAGGGGCTTTTTGTGGGTTGCTGTGCTTGTTGTGCTTGTTGTGCTTGTTGTGCTTGTTGTGCTTGCTGTGCTTGCTGTGCTTGTTGTGCTTGTTGTGCTTGCTGTGCTTGTTGTGCTTGTTGTGCTTGTTGTGCTTGTTGTGCTTGCTGTGCTTGTTGTGCTTGTTGTGCTTGTTGTGCTTGCTGTGCTTGTTGTGCTTGTTGTGCTTGTTGTGCTTGCTGTGCTTGCTGTGCTTGTTGTGCTTGTTGTGCTTGTTGTGCTTGTTGTGCTTGTTGTGCTTGTTGTGCTTGTGCTGGTTGTGCCTGGAAGGGGAGGGAGTAGGGGAGGCCAAGGGAGGATGGGGAAAGGAGGAGGGAGTTGACTTGGACGCATCTTGCTGCCCCTGTCGCGCTGGTTGTACCTGCGAGCGGAGGGGGTGGAGGAGCGAATACGGAAAGGAGAAGGGAGTGCTTGTGAGTGCACTTGTTCTGGTCGTTTCGTTGGAGAGGGAGGCGGAGGAAGCAGGGGATGGGTAAGAAGAGAAGCTGTGCGTGGGAAAGGGAGGAGAGGAAGTGGGGAGGAAGGGGAATGAGAGAAACTTCTCGTGAGATGACTTCACAGCAGCCCTTTGAGGTTGCGGGGGAGGGGGAGTCAAGAGGAGACTGTGGGTGGGGAATGGAGCGTAGGAGTGGAGTGTAGCATGTCTAGCTTTTAGTCGTGCTAGTGTTACAACCAAAGTGGGTCTACACTTTTGGTGAGGACGCCCCAACCCCTTTGACCACATTTGGTGGGGGGCCCAAATAATGGTTGCAATATCGAAACCATAATTACCCCCCAATGGGCATTGGTCCAGCCCACACATTATTGGGCGGACAACCTCATTGGTCCACCCATTATGCTGTGGGCACCCATCCGAATTCCCCTACCATTCCTCACCTGTGTAACCTCGATTTTTCTAACTCAAAATAAGAACTTGAGTTTCCACAAGGGAGAGTGGGATTTGGTTTTGGAAATAAGGGTGACAGTACGTGGTGGGTGGATGAAAGAGTGAACAAGCAGCAAAATGAGGGAGGAGGGAAGAGAAAACCATTCTAAATCAATAGCACTGCTAATGATCATTGCAAATCGGCGAATATTATAACATCATAGTGCTAGTGCTGACCGCTTATCGGCGAATATCATAATTCCATAGTCTGACTTGGACCGGATGACCCTCCCCACACACTGCGCTGCTTGCCTCTAATGGCGCATGGTGGGGGAGAGATGTGGGGACCGGAGATGAGATAGTGGAAAGGAGATGGGGGAGAGATGGGGGAGAAGGGAAGAGATGGGGGAGAAGGGGAGAGATGGGGAGAGAGTTGGGAGATACGTGGGAGGCATGAGCGCATGTGAGCATGGCTAAGACGACAGGGGTAGGGAGCGGCGAGGCGAGGCGAGTGGTGAGGCAACGAGAGGAGAGGTACGATGTGGCGAGGCGTGGGCGTGGCGTGGGCTCGGCGTGGTGGGGTGGGGTGGCTCACGATGGCATCGAAGGTGAGGAAGTCGTTCTCCTGGATCTGAAACGTCTCCCTCAGATACTCCAGCCTCGCCCTCAGTATTCTGCCCCGGCAGAGGACGGCATGGGCGGGCACAGGGGATGGGAGGGGCGGAGGGCACCGCACAGGGAAAAGGGCACAAGGGTAGGGTGGATGGAAGGGCACTGCTATTCTGATGGGAGGGTGGAGTGGAGAGCAAGGACTGGGCAGGAGGTGAAATTTTCAATGGTGATGAGGGCTTTGACTCTGGTGTGATGTGATGAAGCTCCCCCACAGTATGCATGCAGCAAGTGTGCAAAACGAGTCGTGGACACTGGCAAATTCAAAGAGGTGTCAACCAGAGAAATGGTATCCGGAAGGAACGGATGGGCCAGAAACTGAATATGCTCACACGACCATTCCCCTCAGTGCAGGATTCTCACATGGCCAGCATGGCACGTGGCACTGACAGACTCGAGCAAGACACAGTGCGCACAACACAGGAATTCCAAGACGGTACCTGCTGAGGGTGTACTGGAAGGGCACGCCAAACATGATAACAAGACGGCCGTAATGCCGGTCGAAGTCAATCCCCTCCGCCACCTTGCCCCTGCCTTGAGAGAAAGGAGCCAGCAGCAGTGGCGCGGGATGGGAGAGGATAGCATCAGAGAAGGAAGCCAGGCGTTAACAAAAAAAGATACACAGAAATATAAACAGAGAGTGGAGGAGGACGTTTCAGGTATGGCTACAATGGCTGGTGCCCGTACATGGTAGGAATCCCCAAGGGGGTTGCATTTGTTCGTTTGGCTGCACATGCTGGCTCACTCGCTCGCCATGAATAAACCCTTGCTCGCCTACTGTGCTGGTTTGGCTTCAAGCAACGTGTCAACGTGGTGGCTATGATTCCGCATTACCGCAGAAGACACTTGTTCCGAGCACCAAATGTCAGCTTTAGTGACCTTATAAGGCAGCATCTTTCCGCTTATCAAGCAGCATATAAGCACTTGGGCTTCAAGACCACACCTACAGCGAGATCCTGATCAAGCAACCACTGGCCTGGCTAAACTCACCGGGCGATGGAGAAGAAGACCCCTCCACGGCCGCAGTCACAGGCACGGCGGTAATTGTCAAGGGCGAGCGTTGTCTCCACCACGTCCTGTGTCTCTATGAACACCAGCTTGTGCTCCATCACCTCCTGCTAGAGAGCATGGGGGGCACAGGTCATCACAGGGAGCACAGGTATGGGAGAGGGATGGACAAAAGAAGAATCCGCGCCAGCCCAGCTCGGACCTGGTCAAGCCAGCCGTCGTTCACGGGCCGAAAAAGGTTCGACTGGGGGTGGGTGCGGCAGTGGTGATGGCGAGCATTGGCCCCACATTGCTCGGTTTCAACCCGGTTGCGTGAGGTTCGACTCGGACCTCAGCAAGAGCGAAGCAGGGTGTCTTGAACTCGGTCCAGCGGGTCCACATCTGGCATCGCATGGACCATGGCTCGACGCAAAACGGCCTGGTCATTGCAAGGCACGAGCGCACGACATGAGTAGCTTGGTTCATGGGGCACGAGCAGGACCGAACAAGGCCAGTTCGTCACAGGCCCATGGGGCAGAGCACTAGAAGCCAGTTGGTCAGAGCCAAACCAGGCCCAACTTCCGCTCATGCTAAGAGGGGGCACTGGGCATATCAAGGTGCATACCATTGCAAGGGTGGATGTTGTCCTGTCTGTCCTGTATGTGTGGATGAGAACCTCCCGTGGCAGAGAGTGGGTGGGTGCCATGGGGACATGCAATGCAGGTGCGCAGCATGCATGACACAGCAAGGAGCCTTCCACTGCACCCCTTACCTCCGAAACCCGCACCTTCGGCTCCCTTGCCTGCTGCGTAGGTGGAGATACGTGGCGCATGGGCCATGGCATGGGACGGAAAATCGCGGCATTCTCTTCATCCGGTTTCCAGAAAACCCACGTCTACCTCACACCACCGAATATATATACCCTAAACCTGGAAAGCTAAACCGTGTCCCGGCCAGAGGGAGTGCTAAGCCCTGAGCGCACCTTGAGGATGCCCATGTCGTTCCAGCTGTTGACGATACCATCCATGTACGCGTAGCTCACAAAGAAACAAACAATGCCGTCCGGCACACACGCGGCCATGTCGACGAGCAGGCGCCCGTAGTTGCGCACGACACCGGGGTCACTGCGCATGTCAAACCGCGTGCTCAACGGCAGCTGGTCGCTGGTGGGGGTGGGGGGGGTGAACAGTGCTCACAGGGGGTTGTGTGTGAAGGAAAAAGTAAAAGGTTTCACCTCCCTTACCTCCTTGTGTGGCAAGCAAAGCGAGGCAGTACTGGGGCAGTAGCACAGGGAAGAATCAGATGCACACAGACTGTGAGTGAGTGGAGGATTGGCGTGACGAGAGACAGAGCCAGTCTCCACACTACCACTGTACCCCTGACAGCTGCTCTCACACCTGCCTTACTGCCCTCATGTCACGACAAGAGTGCAGATGAAACACTCTCCCTCGCATGAAACCCCCCCCTTACTCTCACGCAGAACAACCCGCCCTCACCTCACCTCACCTGCCGCGCGTGACGACGAGGGGGCAGAGGCAGTCGCGCGAGAGCGACATGGAGAGGGAGCGGATGCAGACGGGGTGGAAGTTGAGCAGGCGCGGGTACAGGTCGATGGGACTCAGCGTGCCGCTCGTTATTATCACACTCTGAAACCGCTCAAACGTGGGCCGGATCGCCAGAGACGCGTCCAGACAGCTCAGCTGCCGGCAGGGCGGAGAGGAGTGCGGGCAGACAGGGATGGGGACGGGGAGGGGTGGGGGCGGACGGAGAGGGGCCGGGGTGGGGGATGGGGCGGAGAGGGGTGGGGAGGAGAGGAGGGAGTCAAGGGTAGTGGAAAGCATGAGTGAAGGAAAGGGGAGAAAGAGGAGGGAGCACGTAAGTCAGAGAAGGAAAACGAGGGGGAGAGTGGGCAGCAGTGAGTGGATGGGTGGGAGTATATGAGGGGCATAGGACTGAAGCTGGCGTCAAAGGGAGAGAATAGCAGCACCACCCCACACACACCACCAGCAACACCCCACCTGCAGCACCCTGCCAGAACCATCGTACCTGCAGCACGGGGTCAGCCAGCTGCGGCTGGCGTTCATCAAAGGGCTCGATGATGATGGCGAAGCCCCTGGTGTACGTGCCAACGAGTGTGGCGAGGTCACACACGCACTGCACGTGGCCCATCTCGTCCACCTCCGCCACCTGCAGCGTCAGCAGTAGAGACTGCAGCCGGTCGTAACACAGCTGCAGGCTCTTGCTCTCTATGCCCGTTGCTGCCTGTAGAGCGCACAAGGGGGGTTATGCAGAAGGGGGGTTTATGAGTCACCTCAAGCAGCAGCGACTGCAGGCGGTCGTAACACAGCTGCAGGCTCTTGCTCTCTATGCCCGTTGCTGCCTGTAGAGCGCACAAGGGGGGTTATGCAGAAGGGGGGTTTATGAGTCACCTCAAGCAGCAGCGACTGCAGGCGGTCGTAACACAGCTGCAGGCTCTTGCTCTCTGTGCCCGTCGCCGCCTGTAGCGCACATGCACACGGGCAGGGCAGGCGTGCACAAGGGCAGGCGACAAGAAAGGTGAAGAGACACGTGAAGTTACGGCATTCCTGTCATGGCAGTTAAACAGAACAAGTGCAGGTGACGCACAGAATGAGGGCAGGTGTGTGGAGTGGCGTTGACTCACTCGCCTGCAGGGCATGCAGGAAGGCGAGAGGCCCCTCGGACTCAACGCGCGTGGTGTTGAGGCGCGTCTGCAGGTAGGCGAGGAAGCGCCTTAGGAAGGCGAGGAAGTGCTCGGCGCGGCGGATGTTGCCCGGCACCGCCTCCTGTAGGATGTCCGCTGGTAGCAGGGGGTTCGCCAGCCACGTGTCCGATGCTGATTGGTGGGAAGGGGGGGAGGGGAGGAGGGGGAGGGGGTGGATGAGAGGAAGGGAGAGTGAGGTGGTTGGCAGGAGCGTATGGTAGGAAGAGGTGAGATGGACTGTACGGTAGATGGGTAAGTGAGAACTGGTAGGTGCAGGTAGGCCAGGAAGCAGCGCAGGAAGGCGAGGAAGCGCTCTGCTCTACTTCTTGCAGGATGCCCGCTGGCAGCACCGGACTGGCCAGCCACATGTCCGATGCTGATTGGCGGGAAAGGGGGATGGGGGGAAAGGTGGGTGGGGTGAGTTGAGGGGATGGGAGGGAGAGTGAGATGGTTGGTTGGCCTGGCAAGAGTTGGGGGGAGTGAGGGAGGAGGTGGTGAGATGGACTATGAGGGAGGTGGGTGGGAGTGCGAAGGTGGTAGTTGTGCGAGGGGCATGGAATAAGGTTAAAAAAAAGAGGGTCCGGGATAAGGACAGGGGAGAGGGGATAGGACGGGAGAGGCGGAGGGGAGAAGGGGAGAGGGGAGAGGACGACTGGTGGATGGACTGGATAGGAGAAGAGGGGAGGATCCGAGCAACTGGCAAGTAGGCTCTGTGTTTGAATGAGCTCACCTGGCAGGTTGCCTCTCTGCGCCAGTCCATCCACCAGGCGGCGGTACTCCTCCTTCAGCCTCTCTGCATCCGTTGCCTTGAACCTGCCACACGCATGGCAGACAAACGTGCACTGCTCCTTAGGATTGCGCGTCGCAATGACTGCGCACTCTGGGGTGGCAAAAACGGTTCATGCAGCAGAGTGCCACGCTGAGTCCTACACGAGTTGCGCCCAACCGACTCGAGGGTAAACCCAAGTGTGAGTCGACGTAAGACGGAAATTAACCCACACCAGAGAAGACTACGAAACCTTAGACAGAACATGATGGAGCGTAACACCCACTCCCTTCCTTTCTCTCAGTTCACTCCCCCCCTCCTTCCATTATCGCTATCCCCTAACCTCTTATCAATAATCCCGTCCCCTTCCTCTGCCACACTCTCCCTCTCCTCCCTCAGTCCCTCTGCTTCCCCTCTCCCTCTCCTGCCCCTCCCTGCTACCCATCTTACTCTGCCGCCCCTCTCACTCTGCCCTCTCTCTCCCCCCCTCCTCACACTCGCCTTCTTCTCCCCCTCTCCTGCTGCTCCCTGCCCTCACCTCTAAATCCTCATACTGAGCCAAACAAGCGTTCCAAGGTATCTCCCGCTTCCTTTATCCCTCGCTCACCGCTCGATGGTCGTGTTGAGCCGGGCGAGGTTCCTATTCGCCCCATCAATCGTCTGCTGCCGCACGTTCACACTTAAAGCCTCGATGCACACGTTGTCGATGTTGTGCGCCTCGTCAAACACCACGATGCTCTCCCGCTCCAGCTCCCTCGAGATGATCCCCGACACCTTCGGGTCCAGCAGGTACTGGTAATTATACACCACCACGTTTGCGAAGTTTATCATGTGCCGCGCCAGGAAATACGGGCACCACCCCTTCTCCCGCCCGAAAGCCCGCAGGTCCTGCAGCGTGTACACTCCGGGCGGCAGGGCGGCTTCTTGTCCTGTGCGGTCGAACTGGTCAAAGTAGGTGCACACCTCGATGTCGGGGTTCTCAAGCGCCGCGGCGCGCACCCACGAGGCAGTGCGCTTGCGGCACCCCGCGTCCACGCTCTCGCGCGACCCCTCCCCCGCCACCACCGGGTGGATGCACAGGTTCTTGCGCGAGCTCAGCCCTAGCGCTAGAATCCGCGGAGCCCCGCTCGCGCCTTTCCCCCCTGCGCCGTTTCCCCCTGCGCCGGCGGCGGCTTCCCCTGCGAGCGCGGACTGCTGGTAGGCGTGCAGGATGCGCAGCTCGGCGAGCGCCTTCTCCATCTCGTGCACGGTGCGCGTGCAGTACACGAGCTTGCCCGTGCCCTTGCGCGCCATCTGGTACGACGTGATGAGCGACAGCAGCGTGATCGTCTTGCCCGTGCCTGTGGGCATCTCCAGCACGCAGTGGCCCTTGGCGTCCAGCGTACGTTTCAACTCCACCATGTACTCGTACTGCTCCGGGTAGATGTACTCGTACGGGAAGTACACGTCGAGGTCCTCTATTTGGAACTTCATTGCGGCTGCTACTCTGGCCTGGTATAAAGACTCCTGTGGAAGTTATTAGTAGTACCGGTCAATCCGCGACTATACCTCTGCAACGGTCACTCTGCACCAACATCTCAGGCCGACGCATGAACGGCCACAATCGTAAGCAGGTGTGAAGTAAGCGGGCGCGTCGCCGTTATATGTACGGCTCCTACATACGGGTCACCTTAGGGTGCGTTACTTGATGGTCAAAGTTCGAAAAACTAGTGGGTAACCCGCGACGAAAATCTCGCTTATTAGGGATAGCGAAGTCCGTCAACATGAGGCCAAATGAAGGGAAACAAAAATGGACACTGAACAGGTCGAGCTGACAGTTGACTGTTCGCGAACCTGTTCACTTGCACACGTTCGATAAAGCTGCGAAATCTGCGAAGCAATTAATCTTATCAAGCGCACTACAAACACCGTGGTTGTTACCACACGATGGTTCTTTTTTTTTTTTTTTTTTTTTTTTTTTTTGGAACATAGTACACTATACAATGCACTACATCCACAGTCGTAACTGGATAGAAAGGGAAGATGCAGGCCAATATTGTTCGCACTGCCTTCCCTGTAGCCCTCTATGGAGGCTTAAAAAAGGTACTGGGTCTCTCCCATATCGAGGTGAAATCACTGTTCCACACCAGTTTCTCACTCTGCTCGCATACGCGGTTCAGCGCAGCCTCCTCACCAGTTGTCAAATTTGGCCAGCACCCTCCTGACCCGCCCCCCTTCTGTCCCCTTTTCCCCGCACACCCCTCACTGTAGATCCGCACATGCCTCCTGAAGCTTTCCCCGACTTTCCTGGCAACCCGCTTGGGCTCGAAACATTTATTCCGGAAAACCGCATCACACCTCTCCAACCATATATGCCTGAACGTGACCGCAATAAGTGTCGACTCCGGGAAACCTGAGGCTGTGCTGTCTTCAGCGAATAACAGCTCGCCCAGTGTTCCCACTGCTCTCGCCGGATTGATCAGCCGTAGTGAATCCTGAAGCGCGCCACATATCCCGCTAACCACCGGGCAGCTCATCAAACAGTGAGTTGGCGACTCCTCCTGTTTGCAATGTGGGCAGCATGCACGCGAGCCGAAAAAGGCCAGCCTGCTGCCCACTTGCAGATTGTGACTGTGGAGCCTCAACAGAACCTCTCTTGCCTTTGCTGGGGTGGCCAACGAGTCCCTTTTCGCAATGGCCTTCTCCCAGTTTATCTTCCCTCCCCAGTTCTCCTCCCATTTTTCCTGCTGCTTCGGCTGTTGCACCGACTTCTTGAGCAGATGCCTCAGCTTCCTTTGCGCTGTAGGTTTCCCCTCCGCACATAGAAAGGAGGCTCGTAGCCGCGTCAGCGGCTCTCCCGCCTGACCCAGCACGTAACCTCCACTCGCCACCATCGGAGTTAATATGCTCAGCAGCACCGGCGGCTGTACTTCCGTCCCCACGTGCTTAATCTTCCCTTTGCTGTCCACCTCCACTCTTTCGCACTTTAGCTCTTCTTTTGTCGAGAGTGCCACTTGCAAGTAGCTCTGACTCCCTCCCACGGATTTCCCCACTTTGACCAGGGATGTGGCTTCCACAATATCCGCCGCCGACACCTTCCCGAGCAGCTTCTCTTTCCAAATCTCTGGGACCGCCTTCCAGGCCATTAACGCCCACCTCGCCGTTGATGATCTCCCTGTTTGCTTGGTCAACGTCCACAGGTCTTTGACCTTCCGGCTCCCGTCATACTCCTCCTGCAGTAAGTCTCCCACTACCAATCCTTTGAGGCATTCCGAGCCTTTCTGCCTCCCAAAAGGGCTTTCCCCCTGGTAATGAATCCACCTGCTAAACCACAGCCGTTATTTCTCCATCTCCCACCTGTTTGCAGGTTCCGGTACCTCTGGCAACTGTTTATCCCACATTAGTGGCACCAGCTCCCGTCACCGTTCACTTCCGCCTCTCCATTCGGCGAGGATGGCCTTGTGTGCCAGCAGTGTTGCCCAGCCCACTGGCATGCTTGCCGCTCTCTCCATCAGCCACTGCTTCATCGGGTTCTCCTCCAGCAGGGCCGCTCCCAAGTTCCATAGTGCTTGTCCGTTGATTCTCTCTGTCGGGCTAATCACCCCCAATCCCCCCTCTTTCCTGCTCAGGTGCGCCAGGAACTCGCTCCACAGGATGAAGTGCTTCTCCTCGTCCGCGCATCCCTTCGATATGAAGTTATGGCACAGTTTCTTCATCTTCTTCCAGATCTGCTTCGGCGGCTGATAGATCTGCGCCTGGAACAGGATCACTGGCATCACATACGCGTTCAAGACCGTCACCCTTGCCGTCGTGGTCAGGTGCAGTTTCTCCCAGTTATGCAGGATTGTGTTCACCCGCACCAGAGCTCGCTCCCATGTTGGTTCCGTATTCCCATCTGCCGTTAACCAGATACCTAACAGTCTTTCCGGCTTGTCTCTCTCCGCCCAGCTGAAGCCCGTGTCTGTGCGAGGAGGGAGCAGTCGGTTCTTTCCTAGCGGCATCACCGTTGATTTCCCTTGGTTTACCTGCAGCCCAGACCTGTCCCCGAATTCACTTAATAACTCCTTCGCCTTCCCAAGCTGCTCCTTGCCTTGAAGCAACAGCGTCGTGTCGTCCGCATACCCTAGGTACGCCAGCTCCCCCTTCCCCCTTTTCCTCAGTCCCAGTTTCCTTCTCTTAGCCTCCTGGCTCAGTGGTTCTGCTGCGCAGATGAAAAGGTAGGGTGCAAGTGGGCACCCCTGCCGTACGCCCGACTCCACTGCTACTTTCTCGCCCAGCCAACCATTGACTAGGAGTTGTGTCGCCGCTTGGTCGTGTAAACCTCTTGTCCATTTGATGAAAACCTCTGGAAAGCCCATCCTCTCCAGCGTGCGGAAGAGGAACTGTCGTGACACTGAATCGTAAGCTTTTTGAAAATCAACCATTAGTAAGTACCAGTCCTCTTTCCCGACAACCGCCGCATCAATCGTGTCCGCAACCACCTTCACTGCATCTGCCAGCCTCCTGCCCGGTACGAAGCCGAATTGATGTTCCGAGATAACCTGCGGTAATTCTCTCTTCATCCTGTTCACCAGCAACTTCGCAACGATCTTATAGACTGCTCCCAGTAGTGTAATCGGTCTGTAGTTCCCTAACTCTGTTCTCTCCCCCTTTTTATGAAGCAGGATTGTGACAGCTGTAGAGAAGTTCTCCGGCAGCTTCCCCGTGGACTCAAACTCTCTCATGAAATCCATCACCGTATCGCCCAGGAGGTCCCAGTTGTCTTCCAACAGCTCTTTCGGCAACCCATCTGCTCCTGGTGCTTTGCCTCTCGGAAGCTCCCTCATCGCCGTTTTAACTTCCGCTTCTGTCCACGGCGCAGCCATTCGACACACCCCTTCCATGCTCAGCACCTTCCGAGGATCCATCGGCCATTCCTCCGGAGCCTCATTTTGCGTTTTGTCGGTGAAAAGCTTGGTGAAGAAATCTGACGCCGCTACCCGCACTTCTCTTTCCCCTTCAAACTTTCTCCCTTCATGCACCACCCCCTTAATTACCGTCTTCGCCTTCCTTGATGCTATCATTCTGGTTAAAAATTTTGTCGCTATCTCTCCTTCCAACTCCTCTCCCACCCCAGCCATTGTCTGCTTCCGTTTCCTCTGGCTGTCCCTGTACGCTTTCAGCTGCGCCTCATATTTTATCAGCTCATCATATTTGCCAGTTAGACTGGTGTCCACCATGAACTCCTGCCTTAAAACAGCCACCCTGTCCTCCAGATGTGCTAATGTTTTCCCGATCCTTTTCCTTTCCTCCCTCGCATGAGCTTTCAAGCTAGCCTGCAACGTGATCAAGGTGGACTGCAGCCTCACTCCACCCTTCCCCGACTGCCCCTGCAGCACTTTTTGTATCGTCCTTCGGGTTCCCGCACTCTTCGTTTGCGCAGCGTGCATCCTCCACAGCCCCGGGCCACATTCAGCTCCCGTCGCCGCTGTCAGGACAGTGGTAATCCCAAACCAGTGGTCTGTGACACCCACCGGCGCCGCCATGTGATACGCGTCCGCCACCATCGGTAACATCGAAAGCGACGTCAGTGCCCGATCAATGCGCGAACTCGTCATTGTCGATCTCGCCAGAAAGGTGTATTCCAGCCTAGTTAGGTAAAGTGTCCTGAAAACATCTTTCAGCTCCCAGCACGCGCATATGTCCAACATCCTTCTATTCTCTGCTTCCGATCCCCCCATGGAAGTTTTATCCATAACCGGGTCTGCTACCACATTGAGGTCTCCTGTCGGCAACAGATGACCCGAGCTCGGCAGCGAGTCCATGAAGCCAGCAAAACTGTCCCTGAAAAACTCTCCCCTTGCCGTTGCTTGCGCAGGGAAGTATGCCGCCACCAATATCCACGACAACTCTCTCAAGTTGACAGTCACCGCTACCAGTCTTCCTGATGCATGAGATCGCACATTACTGAAAACCACCTCTTTGTTAAAACTCAGAACTGCCACCCCTCCAGCCGTTTCAGCAGATGAGACTACTGCCACCGCCTCCGCTCCCGTTTGAGTCCAGAAATTGTGGTCCTCCTGTAACCGTGTGTCAGTAAGAATTATTATTCCCCTAGATTTGTGAAGCCATTCCCTCAGGCCCTCCCGCTTCTCAGCGCCACCCAGCCCATTGACATTGAGCGCGCCGATGGTGAGTTCGCGCCCATTATCCATTCAACCACTGACTGAGACCCCACATCATCCACGGGTCTGACGGTTTCATTGTCCAGCTCCCCTCTGACCAGCACAGCCTCCACCAGTCCAAGAAGCGTGTTGCAACAAAGACACCACAAAGTACAGCTGATGCAAGCGAGATGCTAACCATTGTTCCTCCTACTACTACCCTCTGAAGATCTTGAAGGAAACTCTCACATTTGTATTCCCAGCCTACTGAAGCCTCCTGTTCCCTCTGCCAGGTACCACGGTGAGGACCACCCCGCTGAAGTCTCCGGTGAGTAACCCCCTGCTGGCGCTTGCAGCTGCACCGTCCAGAGCTGGTACCCACTACTTCGCTGGCTTGGTAAAGTACTCCTTCCTGAAGGCGAGCATCTTCTGAGAGAAAACACTGGCACGGGATGCTGACCCTTCCTTCTTCAGCCCCCCCTTGTGCCGAGCAGATGCGATGTGAGCCGATGCCTGCTCGAAGCGATTTCCTTGCGCCTTCTCGCACACCGTCTGAACACAGACCCATTCCTCCCTCGTCCCCCCAGTGGAGGTGAGAATAACAGCCGGGTCCCTCATAATGCGCTTCAGGAGGTCTGAGGCTTTCAGGGATGCAGCTGCGGGGGGAGAAAAGCAGGCATCCGTCAGTATAAGTCAAAGGATGAGGAGCAAAAGGCAAGATGGGTACCACCAGCGAGTAAGTCGTCGCGCAGCTGTTACCGTTCATCTCATGAACCTTCTTAACTGTCAGGTTCCAGTTGTTGAAGGTCTCCTGCCTTGGGGTAACATAACTGTCATGATAACGTGACATGTGTTGTCCTCCGCAGAAATCGCAGGTCAGCGATGGGAAATGGAGCAGATACCGTTTTGCCGTGGACGGGTCTTCAACAAAGTACCTCCAGCGGTACTCATCGTCAGCATGGGGTATGACCAAGCCACGGATACGGTCAGTATCCAGCCCTGTCACCGGGTCAACAGTCCGATGAAAGCCGAAGCCACTGGCAAAGGCACTCTTGCCTCTCTTGACCAGCTTCGACACCACCAGAAGCCGACGAATCAACTCCGCCGTTATTTCCGCAGGTACACCTTTGACCACCACCTCCTTAGCCGTGGGGTTCTGCACGCGCTCTCTCAGGAACCTCGCATCTTCCGGGTGCTGCCAGGTGAGGTCGATGAAATCCCCATTCACAGATTCATGACGAATAACCTGGTTCCAGACGAAGTTCGCATCGCGGACATGGTCAAAAGTGACCTGCAGACGACCATAGCGCACTCCCGAGAAATACATCGCCGGCAGATCTTGGTAAGTCGTTGTTTGTAAAACATCCGTTGACAAATGCTCTTTCCAATCATCCAGCATCGCCGCAACCGTAGCAGCAGCACGGGTAACTTCAGCTTTCCTGGAGAACGGCACCAGCAAGGTTAGTGAAAACCGCTTCAAAGCAATAACACTGTTAAGCGAGTCCGGCTCCAAATGCTCGTCAGAATCATCACTCAGATAGCCATCATCGTCTTCATCAGGAGCACCCATCGACAGAGCTTCATCGTCATCAGGAGCCTTCTCAGCAGTAGAGTTATCCTCCCGCGCTCCCTTTGATGACGGGTTCGTAGTATTGTCTACCGCTTCACTTTCGTCTCCAGATTCCTTTTCAACCTGTCCGTTAACATCTTCCGCCTTGTTCTGCAGGTCCAAAAAAGCTTCAAATGGGCCGATCACTGGAGTAGAGGGGGACCCCGTTGACGCTTTCTCCGCACCAGTTGGGTCCTTCACCGGTAAGTCAGGTACGTCCATCCCCTCCTTGTCCGCAATCTTGTTCACAGACTTCTTGCTGTTCTTGTTGTTGCGTCCCTTCACCATTGTGCAATGATGATACCAGCTTGCCAGCCTGCCAATGGCTGAGAAACAAGCAGATCTGAGCACCACCGCTGCAGACCCCCGCGCTTTATGCCATTGATGCTTGTAAACGAAGCTCTGCAGGTCCTGATTCCGCCGAACTGGCGACCTCCCAGAGACTGTCGAGAGACCTTGGGGAAAACTTTTCCTGAGAATGACGCGTGAACAATGGTAGGATGTAAACAGATAACGATTGATTTGCCAGTAGCGCCTTGAGCTTGTATATTCGCCATATGTATTCCCTTGGTCAGGAGCCGAGTGTAGCGATGCAGTTAGCCTGGAACTCGAAAATGTGGTATTTAGGTTCCCGTATTGAACACTAAAATGGTACCATTGTGTAGAGCTAGAGGCCACGCATCGTTTATGATAACTCAATGTAGTTTCTGCCAGGAAATTGATACACATTGGGCGTGTAGTAGCTGTCAGCCATGGCCATGGCGGCTGTAAGGAGGATGTCATTGTCATTGTCATTGTTTTGCCACACGATGGTTCTGTTTCTCCGTCCCATGTTTTCGCAAGACCAAGCGAAGCTGCGCAACGCAGGCTCGGGTGACGTCATTTTCCAAACCTTTTGGAAGCAGGTTTCCCAACCTCCGTTGCTTCCCATGTCTGTGTGCGTGTCAAACAGTTTGTTTCCGAGGCTGCTAACAAAAGCTTCCCATTGGCCGAGGCTGCTTTGGTTCTGATTTTGTTGGACGAGACGCGTCGAAGGTATCTTCTGCGACTGCCCTCAACTGCGACTGTAGTACAGTAGCCAACCGCGAGCCCTCTTCTCCCCCTCTCCCTCCGCTCATCCTCACTAGTCATGACACGACGGCTAGTAGCCAACTGCGAGCTCGGATCTTACAGCACCACGGCTGTAATATTCATTCCTTACGGATCCACCCAGCTCTAGGTCTCCTCGACTCAGTACAAATTTTATTTATTTCGCTCTCCGATCCGATCCGATCCGACCGATCCGATCCGGTGCGGTGCGGTGCGGTACGCAGCGATGTTGAACATGACAGCAGCGGAGGCGGAGCAGATGCTGGGTCGGCCGCTCACGACAGCGGAGGCGGTGTGGCTGGAAGCGACGCGCGGCGTGGCGGATTACCAGCTCTACTGCTGCACCGTCGTGCTGCTCGTCATTCTCTACACGCTCGCGTGCCTGCCGTACGCGATATTAGACTACCTCCGCCTGCCCTTTTTCGAGCAGTATCGCCTGCAGCCCGCGGTGTATCACTCGCCGGCAGATTCGTGGAAATGTTATAGAGACGTGATCGGTGTTATGGTGACCACGATCCTCCCCCTTCAGCTGCTCTCGTATCCTTTCTTCAAGGTGCGGACCCCTTCAGCTGCCCTCCAACCGATTTTCTCTTTTCCGATAGCTCATTCAACTCTCAAGCGCCCCCATTGCCCCATAGAGTTGCGCTGATCGCCCCCTTCCCCTGGACCCACCTTGGTCCAGTGACGCGCCTCACTCACTCCCCCAACCAACCCTCTCCGCCATGCCCTTCCGCTCTTACGGCTGTCCCCTCCCCGATCAACTCGCCTTCCTCTTGGACCTTCTCCGCCCATCCCTGTGCGACTCCGCCCATCCCTGTGCGAATCCTCTGCCTCCTACACTACAAAACGGCTTCCCTACTCCCGTTCTCACCCCCTCTCCCAACCTTTCCCCCATCCCCTCATCCATCTCCCCCCCCTTTATCCCCCCCCCCGAATCCCCATCCTCCCTGCTCTCCTCTCCCCTCCCCGTGCGACCAGGTAGCGGGCATCACGGCGTCTCTGCCGCTGCCGTCGCTCTCCACGATGGCTTTACAGCTGCTCGTGTTCCTGCTCATCGAGGACTACGGCAACTACTGGATCCACCGCCTGTTCCACCATCCGCTCCTCTACAAGCACATCCACTACAAGCACCACGAGTACACGTCACCCATGGGCGCGGCGGCCACGTACGCGCACTGGGCGGAGGTGCTGGTGCTGGGCGTGCCCACGCTCGTGGGGCCGGCGATTGTGCAGTGCCACGTGGTCACTCTGTGGGCGTGGATCCTGCTGCGACAGCTCGAGGCCATTGAGACGCACTCCGGGTGAGCGGGGGAGGGTGGAGAGTGACTGTGGGGGAGGGATGTGGGAGTTGGGGGGGGGGGTGGAAGGAGGGTGGGGGGGTGGAAGGAGGGAAGGGGTTGTGTTGGAATGGAAAGACGGGATGGGGGGAGGGTTGCTTGTGGAGAGAGAGATTGGGGATAGCGGTGGCATGTGGGGAGGGTGTGTTGGTGCACTACCCACGTGGTGACGCTGTGGGCGTGGGTCTTGCTGCGGCATGTGGAGGCCATTGAGACGCACTCAGGGTGAGCAGGCAAGGGGCAGCGGCTGGGTGTGAACTGGACATGAGTGTGGGGAGGCTGTCTTGCTGTGCTGCTGTGCTGTTGTGGTGGTGGTGTTTGACTGTGTGTCTTCTGCTGCGGCCTCTGGAGGCCATTGAGACGCACTC